TTCCCATTTCCTGTTCCCATTCCCATTTCCTGTTCACCATTTCCCATACCCGGTTTCTGGGCTATTTACTGTTCCTGTTTCCCATTTCCTGTTCCTGTTTCCCATTTCCTGTTCCTGTTTCCCATTTCCTGTTCCCATTCCCATTTCCTGTTCCCATTTCCCATACCCTGTTTCCGGGCTGTTCCCCGTTCCTGTTCCCATTTCCTGTTCCTGTTCCCATTTCCTGTTCCTGTTTCCCATTCCCACCATACCTTGTTCCCCCGTTTCCATTCCCATTTCCTGTTCCCATTCCCATTCCCATTCCCCATTTCCTGTCCCCTGTTCCTGTTCCTGGGGCCATTTCCCTTTCCCCTTCCCCTTCCCCCTGTACTCTGTCCCTGTATTTCCGGGGCCGTTTCCTGTTTCCTGTTCCCCATTCCCATACCCTGCCGCCTCCTTCCCATTTCCTGTTTCCGTTCCCATTTCCCCATTCCCCCCTGCGCACATTTCCTGTTTCTGTTCCCTGTTCCCCATTCCCGTTCCCCATTCCCTCATTTCCGTTCCCGTTTCCTGTTTCCCGTTCCCCATTCCCTCATTTCCGGGGCCGTTTCCTGTTTCCCGTTCCCCATTCCCTCATTTCCTGTTTCCCGTTCCCCATTCCCATTCCCCATTCCCTCATTTCCGTTCCCATTTCCTGTTTCCCGTTCCCCATTCCCTCATTTCCGGGGCCGTTTCCTGTTTCCTGTTCCCCATTCCCATTCCCCATTCCCTCATTTCCATTTCCATTTCCTGTTTCCCGTTCCCCATTCCCTCATTTCCATTCCCGTTTCCTGTTTCCCGTTTCCCATTCCCATTCCCCATTCCCTCATTTCCATTTCCATTTCCTGTTTCCCGTTTCCCATTCCCATTCCCCATTCCCTCATTTCCGCTCTTGTTTCCCGTTTCCCATTCCCCATTCCCTCATTTCCGTTCCCGTTTCCTGTTTCCCATTCCCCATTCCCTCATTTCCGTTCCCGTTTCCCGTTTCCTGTTTCCCATTCCCCGTTCCCTCATTTCCGTTCCCATTTCCTGTTTCCCGTTGCCTGTTTCCCATTCCCCATTCCCTCATTTCCGCTCTTGTTTCCCGTTTCCCATTCCCATTCCCCGTTCCCATACCCAGCTCCTGCGTTCCCGTTTCCCATTTCCCATTTCCTGTTCCCCGTCTCCCATTTCTCGTTTCCATACCCCGCATTCCTGTTCCCGTTTCCTGTTCCCATGTTTCCATTTCCTGTTCCCATGTTTCCCTTCCCTGTTCCCGTTCCCATTTCCTGTTCCCATGTTTCCGTTTCCCGTTCCCATTTCCTGTTCCCATGTTTCCGTTCCCTGTTCCCGTTCCCATTTCCCGTTCCCATTTCCTGTTCCCATGTTTCCGTTCCCTGTTCCCGTTCCCATTTCCTGTTCCCATTTCCTGTTCCCATGTTTCCGTTCCCTGTTCCCGTTCCCATTTCCTGTTCCCATTTCCTGTTCCCATGTTTCTGTTCCCATTCCCGTAGCCCACTCCCATGTTTCCGTTTCCCGTACCCATTTCCTGTTCCCATGTTTCCGTTCCCTGTTCCCGTTCCCATTTCCTGTTCCCATTCCCATTTCCTGTTCCCATGTTTCCGTTCCCCGTTCCCGTTCCCATTTCCTGCTCCCATTCCCATTTCCTGTGTCCCCACCTTGGTTCCTGTTTCCTGTTCCCATTTCCCATTCCCTTTTCCTCACCGTGTTCCTGTTTCCCGTTCCCATTTCCTGTTCCCATTCCC